GTTTCTCTTTAGTGATTTGCCTGCCCCTATCCTCTGCCCACCAACCACTCCTTGGAAGGAAGGTTGGGCAATCTACTTCTGAAGTAATACTGCCTCGGAAACCCAAGGAGGGGTCACTATGAGGGGGTCCGACTCAATGGAACATAACAACAGCAACAACAATCTTCTACCCATTTATCAGTTGGGTGATTTGCTCATTCTAATTGATTTGGAGGTGCTCTTTGTATATGAAGGACAAAACCAGTTCTGTTTGAGTGGATTCTGACTCATGAGGATCCCGTGTATGTCAGAGGAGAACTGCGTCCACAGGGTTTCCAGGGGCTGGTTTTTCAGAAGTAGATCACCAGGCCTTTCTTCCAAGGTGCCTCTTTCTTCCAAGGATGTTCAAGGTGAACTTGAACATCCAACCTTTTTGGTTAGCAGCCAAATGCATTAGCCATTTGCACTACTCAGGGACTCCAAACTCCATATTAAGGATACCCAACTAGGGTTTCCAAGGCTGTAAATCTTTATGGAAGCAGACTGCCATAACTTTCTCCCTCCATATTAAGGACACTAATCCTTTAATTGTTGTATTGCCTTTTTGGAGGGTTGTATGACTTTCATAATCATTAAAACATTTGCAAGTGGATTTAAATTAATTTTCTCCTCTGAATCTTCAGTGTGTGATATCCTGCATCTCTTCCAGCTGCTGAAATGAGGCAAAACGACAAAATCACGTGCATCCTAGAAAACCGGGAGAGGAGAGAGAGGAGAAATCTCTGCACAGTTATTAACGACTTCCAGCAGCACTTCCAGATGCCGGAAACTCGCCGTGAGTTTGATTTGTCAGATCCTCTCGCCCTTAAGAAAGCTCTTCCTGCCCGGCAGTCAGATGACGATGTCCGGAACACCGTGTCAGGGATGCAGAAATTCATGGGAGAGGACTTAAGCTTCCCCGAGAGGAAGAAGTTCCAAGAGGAACAAAACAGGGAGTGGTCCTTGCAGCAGCAAAGAGAATGGAAGGATGCCCGCACTGACCACAAATTTGCAGGTAATAAAACAAAGACAGCCTTGGCTCGATACTTACTTCACCAAATCAGCCCTCGTGCCCTTTGTCCGTGTTGTCATTGTTAGCCCCCGACTCGTGGGGAGCCCACGTGCAGCGTGACTGGACCCCTGTGATCTGGGGAATGTCATGGCTGGTCTTTGGAAGTGGGTCACCAGGCCTTTCTTCCTGGTCCATCTGAGTCCGGAAGCTCTGCTGAAACCTGGTCACCATCAAAGCAACACACGAGCCTCCACGGACAGACGGGCGATGGCCGCACAGGAGGGGCGTTGGCCGGAATCAAACTCGGGTCTCCCACAGGCTGATGCTGTTGTTGGGCGCCACTGAGCTGGTTCCGACCCACAGCAGCTCTGTGTGTGACGGAATGAAGCCCGGCCCGCCCCGCGCCATCCTCACAACCGTTGCGGTGCTTGAGCCCCTCGGGCAGCCACTGGGTCAACCCATCTCCTTGAGCATCCTCCTCCTCTCCGCTGACCGTTTCACCAAGCGTGTTGTCCTTTTCCAGGGACTGGTCCTTCTGACAAC